GGCCAGTCACATCTTTCTCTTCTACTTCCAGGTCCCGGAAGTGGAAATCTCAGCAGCAGTAAACGGACCCTGGATTCCAATACCAGGAAATCACTAAACCTAGCAGCTTCTCGTAGCCTCAGTTCCAGCCCCCTCCAGGAAACACTGAAGAAATCCCTGTGGCTGTGCAGCTGAACTTCTGGAAAAGTACGCTCCACCACAGTGCAAGAAGAGCCCTTGTGTGAAAATAGGTGATCTCCAGCCGTTGCCTCCAGGACCCAGGCTGGACTACTGGGCCACTGGGGAGGGAGAGGCACATCAGGTCTAGCCTTGGGGAATAATCTATTCCAAAATCTTCAGGTCCAAGAGAGCCCATCAGCATCCCTGAAATTCTCTGACTCCAATTTGCATCAAAAATAAATACTATTGGGGCGCCTGGGTGGCTCAGTCATTAAACATCTGCCTTCAGCTCAGGTCGTGGTCCCAGGGTCCTGGGATGGAGCCCTGCATCGGGCTCCCTGCTCAGTGGGAAGCCTGCTTCTCCCTCTCCCACTCCCCCTGCTTGTGTTCCTGCTCTCACTGTCTCTGTCAAATAAATAAATAAAATCTTTAAAAATAAATGAATAAATAAATACTATCGGGGCGCCTGGCTGGCTCAGCTGGTGGAGAGTGCAACTCTTGATCTTAGGGTTGTGAGTTCGAGCCCCACGTTGGGTGCAGACATTACTTAAAAATAAAGTCTTTAAAAAATAAAAATAAATACTACTAAAGAACTCCTGTACATTGTTGGTGGAATGTAAAATGGTGTAGCTGCCAAGGAAGAGTCTGATGGTTCTTCAAATAAACAAACACAGAATTACATGTGATCCAGCAATTCTATTCAGGGTATATTCCAAAAAACTGAAAATAGTCTCAAAGGGACACTTGTACACCCATGTTCATAGCAGCATTATTCATAATAGCCGTGAGATAGAAGTAACCCAAGTATCCATTGATGGAATATTGCATAAATAAAATGTGTTATATACGTACAATATTATTCAGCCTTAAGAAGGAATGAAATTTTGACACAGGCTACAATATGGACAAGCCTTGAGGACAGGACAGTATGCTAAGTGAAATAAACCAGTCACAAAAAGGCAAATACTGTATGCTTCCACTCTCTACCATAGTCAACTTCATAGAAACAGAAAACAGAATGGTGGCTGGGGGAGGAGGAACATGGGAGTTATTATTTAATGGTTATAGAATTTCAATTTTGCAAGATGAAAAAGTTCTGGAGATTTCATTGCACAACATGAATATACTTAACACTACTGGACTATTCTTTAGAAGGTTAAGATAGTAAATTTTATGTTGTGTATATTTAACCACCATCTTTAAAGACTTATTTTTTATTTCTGGGGGAGGAGCAGAGGGAGAGGGAGAGAGAGAATCTCAAGCAGACTCCCCACTGAGCAGGGAGCCTGACGTGGGGCTTGATCTCACAACCCTGAGATCATGACCTGAGCCGAAATCAAGGGTCGGATGCCCAACTGACTGAGCCACCCAGGCACCCCTAACCACAACTTTTTTTAAATGCTCACATTTAGGGACACCTGGCTGGCTCAGTCAGTAGAACGTGCGACTCTTGCTTTTGGGGGTGTAAGTTTGAGCCCCACGTTGGGTGTAGAGATTATTTAAAAATAAAATCTTAAAAAAATGTTTGTATTTATATGTCCCCCCCCAAAAAAAACCCTACTAAAATAGTCAAATCTCTCTTCTAAGAAAAGTTTCAGGAGTACATAACGTATCTTGTCTCCTTTCCCTTAACATAAGGGATGTTTCTACTAAAGTACCTGAAGCAATGTGTCCAAAACCAAGCTAACCCCTTCCCCACAAAACTCACTCTCCTTTCTCATCTTAAGCCAAAAATCCAGTCATCCTCAATTCCTTGCTCTACCTCCTTCTTACCCAGTGCAAACCGTGACAATCTCCTTTGATTTTGTTCCCTAAATATTCTTCTGACGCATCCCCTTCTATTTCCAACATTACTGCCCCAGTGTTCCCCATCATCAACTTCTCCCTGGCCTATTGCTTGCTCCTTCCAAAAGGAACTTACTTATTTACACACACATACACACACACAAACACATACACCCCTGGCAATCCAGCCACACTGGCTCTCTTTGTTTAGATGATTGAGAGTGTCCTAGTCTTTCCAGCCTCAGGACCTTTGTATATGCTCTTTTTCAACACACTCCCTGCACCTACATTTACTCATCTCCTGGATGAGGCATTATTGTTTCCTTCATTAAGTCTTCTTTACCTCTAACCTCCTAGTCTATTATACTCTCTTAGGACCTTATAGCTCTCCTTTACAGTGATTATGATTAAACAAATACTGAGTCATTAATGTTTATCAACTGTCTCTCCTGCTGGCTATAAGCTTTATGAGAGCAGACAGGGTCCATGTCTTTTTATTGGTTGATACACATTCAGCCCTGCAAAGGGTTGGGCAAAATTAATAAACAGGATTAATCCAAGTTTGGTTTTCAAGATAAAAATGGCTTAAATTCTGGAGCCCTATAAGAACTAGTAACCATGCTCGCTCTTTCCCTTCCCAAATTCAGTGAGCTTTCCAGAACATTACTTCCAACACAAAAGAATCCCGTCCCGCAGACAGGACTCGAAATGCAATGCTTGTATCATTCATTTACTTACTGGAACACGTCCTGGCATAAAGCTATGCACAAATAGGAAAAAAACCAAATACCTGCATTTAAAATATTTCCACTCTGGGGGCGCCTGGGTGGCTCAGATGGTTGGTCGTCTGCCTTCGGCTCAGGTCATGATCCCAGGGTCCTGAGATCGAGTCCCGCATCGGGCTCCCTGCTCCTTGGGAGCCTGCTTCTCCCTCTGCCTCTCTCTCTCTCTGTCTCTCATGAATAAATAAATAAAATCTTTAAAAAAAAAAATATTTCCACTCTGGTGAAGCTAGAATATGCTATATTTTCCTGTTAAAAACAGCAACAACAACCAAAAACCCTATGCTTTAACACAGGTTCTAGAAGAACACTGGATTCAAAGCCTGGCTCCACCACTTACCAGCTGTGTAACCTGGCCACCTAACCTCTCTGTGCCTCAGTTTCCTTATTTAGTAAGATGGGGCTAATAACGATACCTACCTCTCCTGTAAAGGAGAGCTATAAGGTCCTAAGAGAGTATAATAGACTAGGAGGTTTGTCATGAGACAAACAAGTTAATACATATAAAATACTTAACATAGTGTCTAGCACACAGAACGGCTCAACAGTCATTATCAAAAATCACACATCCTCCACAGCAAGGCTTAGACCTCTACTCTTCCTGGCAGCACAAGACAGGAAAGATGGCTAGCCAGACAGGTCATGTCTATGGCATGCACTCAACACTTACTCGCATTTAAAACTTTTCTGGTGTATCAACAAAGCTAAGACTGCATGTGAAAAACAGGAGTTCTGTGGTAAGGAGGTAATTGTCTTTAGCATTCTCTGGCTTAACAAACTTTTGTAGGCAACATGTATTTTCCAGAGTAATACAAGGTCATATTTTTAAAAGTGTATGATGTATGAAACACTAAGTTACATGGCTACTTTTGTCAAATGGCATACCTTCTCCACAAAAACAGTTGAAATCGTTGTTACTTCCTACTGACCTTACTGCTTTTTAATTAAATTTCGGCATTTTTTTCATACTGCATATTTCATATGCATATTTATAAGAGATAAGAATTATGAATAAACAACAAATGCAACAGATCTCTAAAAATCGCCACAAAGCATTTGTCCTTCTTGGAAGTGTTAAGACCTGACATTCTGTGTATCAAAAATTACACTGAAAAGTTTTAATATGTGAATAACAACAGTATAGTTTCACTAACACAAAAGAGTACTTTGTATCGAAATACGACCCCAGTGCAATATCTTCATAACCTTTAGTCGAAACCAATAAAGTATTTTTAAAACTGTATTGGGCAACTACTACATAACAGGCACTGTTCTAAAGATGCATTGGACATAGATAAACATAGTCTTGGCCCTCGAGGAACTTAGTTTAGCAGAAGAATCCTATGCAAATATTGCCCTACTGTGCTATTCATAACAGACCGTAACACTGGGCCCATGAGGCCCAAAGGAAAGTCAGCTGATTCTACTGGAAATGGATCAGGGAAGATTTTAGAAAGAACCCTTGAACTAAGCCCTGAAAGATGAGCAAAAATTCTTCAGTGAGATAGAGGGCAATGGCAGTACCCACAGAAGGAACTGCAGGCTGGTTGCAAACATGGGAAGCCATGAAACACTGTGGTGTAGCGGGGTCCTATAATTCTGTGCAACTAGAATGCAAGACTTGGGTAGGAGGGGGGCAGACGGAGCCGGAGACAAATAGAGGCTGATTTACAGATGTTCCAATAGGAGTTTGTATGTTACCCTACAAAGAAGTGACGCCACTGAAAAATCCTTATCAGGGTAATGATGTGATCGGTTTACACTTCACTTCAATCGTTTAGGACTCTACGACTCCCGTGAGAGGGCTGAATGTCCTCACTCGCGGGGCCCCTGGATTCGCCCCCTTCTCCTAGTTTGCTGTTACCCCACCCGCCGTGCGATCCCGCCTCCCGCGGAGCGCCCCTGTAGTCCGACTTTGGCAGCACTATCCCGCAGGAGACTGGACACTCGCTGTCACCCGCAGGCCGTCTCCCTCAACGTGATCTGAGCATCCTTTCGGAGGCTGACAGATCTGAGCTTCAGCTTTGGGCTCTGCCCCTACTCGTGTGACCGCGGTGTGATTGCCTCAGTTTCCTTCCTGGAGCTGGGGAAGGCCCGGCCCCCTGGTCATTAGGCCGCTGTGCGTTAAGTGGTAGTCGCCGGGGGAGAGCCGGCGAGGGGCGGACCCCAGCGCCCACAGTGACGGGGGCGCGCGCCGCCGGCTCCGCCCGAAGACTCAAGCCGGCGGGCGAGCTGGGTAAGCCGGGCCGTGGGCGGGAGGGCGGGGCGGCTCACCGGTAAAAGGCAGAGTCCCCGAGCGGGTTCCAGTTCGCCGTGTAGCAGTCCATGGCTAGTGCAGGCGGCGGCTGGGCAGCGCCGAGGGGACACCCGCCTAGCACGGGCTCCGGGCCGACACTTCCGCTTCCGCCCGTCCGGGTCACGTGGCGAGGCTGCCGCCACGGCCATCACCACTGTGGGCAGCTGCACTCGGCCGCCACCGCGCCCCCGCCCACACCCGGGCCTCGTGCCCGCCCGGGTGGGCCCGGCCCTGGCCTCTGCCCGCCGCCGCGGCCACCCCCGCCGCCTTCCTGTCTCCTCGGGCGCCGGGGGTCGCGCAGGGCGGGACATGGGTGACCGGAAGTGGAAGCTGTGAGCGTCGCCGCCCGGGGCTCCAAGGCCCGAGGCGCCGTCGGGGCCGCCGCGACGCACGCATGGAGAGCGCTGGGCTCCGGGCTGCGCACCGACGGCTAACCGGGACGCACGGGTTCCGCCGGGCGCGGGCTGTGCAGAACCGACTGGCCTCCCGGGGCGCGGGAACATGAGGCTAGGCCCGGAGCCCCCAGAGGGCGAGGCGCGCGGTGCGCGGGCCTGCCCCGGGCGTGGGTGAACAGTGCGGAGCCCCGGGACTCGGTAATTGGCGCTAGCGGGCGCGCGCATGCGCGGGGCGGCGGCGGGCACGTGGCGGGGCTCAGGGCGGCGCCGCGCGGGAAGCGCCTCGGTGCCCTGGTGGCCCGCGGGCTGACGACCCCCCGCCTCCGGTCCCCACCATGGATGCCACTCTGCCGCCGCCACCTCGCCTCCGTAGCCCTGAGCAGCCCGGGAGGGGCCGGCGCAGGTCTCATTTATCCCGGGGCGGGCCCTGGGGCCGACCTGTCCTGATTCCCCGCCCGCGCACGGCTTAGTGGCCTCTCCCCGCAGCCCGTCATTGGCAGCGGCGGCATGGTCTTCTGTCTGGAGAACGAGAAGCCGCGCCTCCCCCTGCGAAGCGCCATGGTCCACCTCCAGGCCTCGGAAGTCCAGCAGCTGCTACACAACAAGTTCGTGGTCATCTTGGGGGACTCAAGTGAGTGCCCCTCTAGGTTCACACTACCCAGCCCCGCACCTTCAGTCTGTTTTCTATGACTGGACCCTTTGGCACCATCCCAAACCTCCTTTCTGACCCCTAGTCTGTTCCAGTCCAGTAGATTTGCTGTTTTTTATTTCCCCACGCAACCTTGCACAGGTGTCCTGACCAATGTAGTCTGTCACATTTTTTACCCCATCCTTGCTCAGCATTTTCCTCTCTGACAGTCTCCCATACTTTCCTTCATGGGAGCAGTGGATTGTGTTGTCTGTCTCCTGGGTGACTTGGCCGACTTACTTCTGCCAGGTGATTGGGCCACTGTGTACTAAGTTGGAGGTGGTGCACTGTCAGAAGGCAGAGATAGTACCAGGATTTTTTTAACCTCACCTTTTCTCCTGCCTCTGTAATGAACTCCATAGAGGTGGTGTTGGGCAGCCCCAACCTTGGGAAGATGGGAGGCCTGGACTTGGGAGGAGCTAGGGTGGGGTGAGGCTTGTTTTAGCCTCAGGATCTCTGTCTCCCTGCAGTCCAGCGGGCTGTGTACAAGGACCTGGTGCTCTTGCTCCAGAGGGACTCACTGCTCACAGCCGCCCAGTTGAAAGCCAAGGTGAGGGAAGCTTGGTAGCCACGCCAGTGGTGGGTGGGCACAGACCCTGGCCTGGCAGGGTCTTCCTCCCTGGCAGGGTCTGACCAGCTGGGTGGGGGGGGTGGGCAGGGGGAGCTGAGCTTTGAACAGGACCAGCTGGTGGCTGGGGGTCAGCTGGGCGAGCTACACAACGGGACGCAGTACCGGGAGGTCCGCCAGTTCTGCTCGGGTTCTGGCCATCACCTTGTGCGCTTCTACTTCCTCACCCGCGTTTACTCCGAGTACCTCGAGGGCGTCCTGGAGGAGCTGACATATGGGCCTGCCCCGGACCTGGTGATCATCAACTCCTGCCTCTGGGATCTCTCCAGGTTGGGGCGGGGGGAGAGGGAAATACTGGTTGGGGGTGGAGGTATGGCTCAGAGGCTATCTGCCCTGTCCTCTTGCCCACCCTACGTGCTGTCCGACAGGTATGGCCGCTGCTCGATGGAGAGCTACCGGGAGAACCTGGAGCGGGTGTTTGTGCGCATGGACCAGGTGTTGCCAGACTCGTGCCTGCTGGTGTGGAACATGGCCATGCCCTTGGGGGAGCGTGTCACTGGGGGTTTCCTTCTGCCAGAGGCAAGTGACTGAGGCCCTTCAGGATGGGGGAGGAGGCAGCTGACTGGTAGACAGAGAGCCTTCCCTCCCGACCCTGCTTCATTGTGCGGCTCTTAGATGCTGCACTTTCTTACTCAGCTCCAGCCCCTGGCAGGGTCTCTGCGGCGGGATGTGGTTGAAGGGAACTTCTACAGTGCAACACTGGCCGGGGGCCACTGCTTTGATGTCCTCGACCTCCACTTTCATTTTCGGCATGCCGTACAGCACCGTCACCGGGACGGTGTTCACTGGGACCAGCATGCGCACCGCCACCTCTCACACTTGCTTCTGACCCACGTGGCCGACGCCTGGGGCGTGGAGCTGCCCAAGCGTGACTATCCCTCTGGTGAGCCCTACCACAAGGGAGTAGGAGAGTGATGCAGAGGGGGTTCTTAGAGCATAGGGCTCAGAAACAGAATAGGACAGAGTACTTGGAGTAGAGGCCTATTGAAGGATTGTTGTGGCTCCTGAGTGCACCTTTCTCATCCCCTGGGGAGGGTGAGAGCACGGGAGCAACGTTTTGATCTGAGTTCTGGTTCCGTATGGTCTAGCATATAGTCATCTCTGTATGTGAGTGAGTTTATGTAAGCTTTGAGCACATAAGGCAGCGTGTCAAAAGACCCCTATGCCACAGATGAGTAGGGAAGAAATGCGGGGACTTCTAGCTAGGCATGGGGGTGGGGGTGTGGAAAGATGGAAATGGAGGAAGGGCAGTCATGCGATGTTGCAGAAGCAAAGAAGCCCCTCAGCTGGTGCTGTCAAGCCTCTCAGTTCGTGCTTGCTCTCAAAAGGAGCATGGTGGCTGATTATTTCCATGTCTGCTTTCCCCCTGGATCATGTCCACAAAGGGCGAGGTTCCTACCTTGTTGCCAGCTCATCCCTTTTGGCCTTGGTGTCTAGCACAATTGCTATGTACATGGTACCTACAGGGTAGTGTTTGTTGAGTTGGGGGCACAGGTCATGTTAGAAGGCTGTTTATAGCAGCACTAGAGGGTGTGAGGACACAGAGAGGCCAGGAATGTCACGGAGGTAAACAAGGACTTGGTAGCCAGGAGTTGGAGCCATGAGAAGGTGGATTAGGACTTTGATTATATAATGGTTAGGTTTCCTTGTTTTTTAGGTGAGAACTAATCCCCAGCAAAGAGAGGGGTGCTCTGACGGTTGTAAGGCTAGTTTGTGGTGACTTAGGTCTTCTGAACTCAGTTTGGAGGTCCAGAAATAGGGATGTGAAAAGGAGGAGTTAGGTGGGAGGATGTGATTGGTGAATTTGGTTCAGGCAGACCTCTGAGGTGCTGTGGGTTGTGAGACCCACAACATGAGAGGGTGTCATGATGTCTAGAGAGAAGACTTCTCAGGCTCATTTGTTGGTCTTTGGGGGAGGAGCTAGGAGAGGAAAAAGCTACAGATACAGGAACCGGGCATACAAAGGGAGAAGGCTCTAGAGGGGAGCATGAGGTCAGAGCAAAGGCAGATCTGTGACTTTGAGAAAGGCAAGGAAGAAGGAACGTACCCTGGGCTTGGCCTGAAATGAGAGAGAATGAAGAAGATGAGGTAGGAAGCAGAGGGTGCCCCCGCCTGGTGGCCCTTTTCTCCAGGAGGAGGGAAGAGAGGTTTAAGAGTGTGGACAACCAGAATTCTGGGCGGCCTGGCGCTCAGGCCTAAAACAAACAACCATCCCGTTCTTAGACCCGTGGATTGAGGACTGGCGAGAGCCGGATCATCCGTTCCAGGGGAGCCATGGGCAGCCCCCAGACTTCGGGGAGCAGCTGGCCTTGCCCCCACCCCAGCACTCTCCCCTGCCCCCTCCCATGCCTTTCCCCTACCCCATTCCTCAGCCCTCGCCACCTCCCTTGTTTCCACCCCTGCCCCAGGACACCCCTTTTTTCCCAGGCCAGCCCTTCCCACCCCACGAATTCTTCAATTATAATTCAACAGAAGACTTCTCGATGTCATCCCACTTAGGTAGGTGCCTCCGCAGCCTCCCCTCCCACCTCTCCCAGCCTCCCTGTGCACCTTCCCCAGCGTGCCCAAGTGGACTGAGAGGAGTTGGATAGCTCCTTGTGCCCCCAGGATTGGGTTCAGTCACTGCTGGATCTACAACAACATCTGTAGACTCGTTAATTAACTCATTGATTGTCATAATTTGCTGGTTTGGTGGTAGGGGAAGTGGTGTTGCCATTTTGTAGATGGGGAAACAGAAGCCCAGAGAAGCTCACCCTGGAGGATTGAAGCTGCCCGGAGGCAGAGCTGGGCTCACCTGGTCAGAAGCCCGCTCTCTGATAATGGCTGGTTCTTTTGTAGGATGTGGCCCTGGAGTGAACTTTGTGCCTGGCCCCCTGCCACCTCCAGTCCCTGGCCCTATCCCCCATGGTCAGCACCGGGGCCCAGTGGTCCACCGGGGGATGCCACGCTGTGCTCCCAACAGCCCCTACCACGTGCCGAGGATGGGGGGGCCCTGCAGGCAGCGGCTCAGACACTCAGACAGACTGATCCACATAAACAAACTGGACAGACAGCCTCCTGCCCATTCGGGGACATGGCCTGGGTAGACTGGATCTTGGACTAGGGCTGGATGTGCCAGTGGCCCTACAGGGCCTGCTTGCCACCCCCGGTGCTGGGTCAGGGTGTCTGTTATGCCTAGCATTGTTCTTGTCCATTGCTGTCACTAATAAAGGCATGGAAGAACAGAGTGGCATCTTCCTGTGTGAGGGGATGGGTTTCCCAAACCATGATCTGAAGAGTTGGGGAGCTGCCTCTGGGCCCTCTCCAGCCTTGGCCCTTTCACCTCACACTATTTAAAAATCATTGAATGTGTCCTTCCTGCTATCTCACACACTCATTTCCACCC